CACCAAAATACCACAGGAAAGTGACGATGGAAGAGAGAAATAGAGCATGGAAGAGCTGAGAGGGAATAAAACACTACAAAACTCTAGATTGCTAAGCCCATCTAATAACACTAAAGCAGGCAGAAGACTCTGTCCCTCCAGATCTGTAATTGATATTCTTCACCAATGACGGGGTTGACCAACTTCGATTTGAAACTGAATTAGAGAAAGGCTGAACACGGTCTGATGTTTCTGGTTCTTGGGTCGAAGTCAACAAATGTGTGGAGGGTGTGGGTGTGTTTGTATTCAGTTTGAAAAGTGACTCAACACCCTCCAGCCAGTTGGATCTTCTACAGGTTGGCACCATCTCATGGAGATATCACTTTATTTCTTCAGTCTTTCATGGATAGAAGTTTAAGGAAGGAACTCCATTCCCCATCATGCTTGTCCATTGCTCCCAAGATGTCCAAAGTAGTAACTCTTCCTCCAGTTTATACACTGTAAACCCCCTTCAGCAATTTTGGACTCCGGCATAGAGTGGCTTACACACAAAATGTCAGGTTTTCTTCTTCTTCTCTGGAATCTGAGGAATGTGATTTCACTCCCTCCCAGCTGAATTTTTACAAAAATAAAATCCACATGCTTAACAGTGGAAATGAAGAGGAAGCCAGACAGAAAAACAAGAAACCGTGCACTTTTTAAAATAATAATAATAAAAAAACCTGGATTTACAGAACTATGCAGCTTGTCTTTTCTCTCTCCAATCTCCCATTTCATCTTCCATATTTTTTTTTACTCGAGTTCCATTTCATATGACAGTCAGAAGTTTTTTTTTTTTAAAAAACAGCTACTTGTCTGAACAGAGGTCATTTGTCTCCTGGAAGCAAAAAGCCCCCCCCTCCTTTTTTTTTTGTCCATAGTAGAAAACTCAACTATGGTCTCACTTAGTTCTTTAGCTTCTAGATAATAGATGGAAACTCTTAAATTCACAAAAAACAAAACAAAACAAAGCTACAAAACAGGATTTGTGTTTTATAGTTTCTCCCTAGTTCTCCTTCGAGCCTTCCTACGATATTGAACTTTAAAACCCATTATCCTCCAGACCTGTTGGTTGGGCACTATGGGTACTCCCATCTCTGGAGGGCACCAGGTTAGAGAAGAATCAGTTGCTCTGGCTAACAGATGCAAAATAATACAGATGCAGCTTCTATTCTCTTTGCAAATTAGCGTGAGGGATGACATACACAAGTTCTGGAGAACCTCAATTAGGTTATTGTATGAGTGTATACATGTTTTGCATGCTCTAATGTTAATAAATGACCAATATTTTGCATGTTGAGCAGTCAATGACAATAGACATCTTCTTGAAAGTTCTCCACTAGAACTTTGGAGCAAAGGATGATGAGGACTAATAACTTCACAAATTTCGGTTGTACCTTAAAACATTTCCAGGGTCTCCTGTTACCCAGTTGAGCTATTGCGTTTCTCTATAGAGCTGATAGTTTGCTCAAGATTACTCTTTGTCCATTGCTAATGGCGCATCGTTTGAATCCCAAAGTCCAGAAGTGATATATAGCTAAGGTTAATGGGGTGGCAGATAAGCAGCTAAACTTAGCCTAGGCTTATGATATCATCTGTTTGCAAAACGAGGAAATGAACTACCTTCAAAATGTTAAACTGAACGGGAAAAGTAGGCAATTGCTCATTCCATTCTTGAGAACACCTTAAAACTTGATCCTGCCTCCTGCCCTAGCTACCAACGGGTGGTATTTCTTTCCCAGGAGACAACCGAGAGAAGGAAATTCCCAGTTATTTAAGACTTGTTCCGATTCAAGTTTACATAACCCCCTATTGTGGAACACAAAAGCTACCACCTGCTGCCTTCGACTCTTCCTGCTTCTTCTCCTACCTGTCATTGTGTGGGGATCAGGTGAGGCTTGTAGAGCTTTAAGGACAAAGAGGGCGTTATTCTTCTGGGGATAGCTGTTCCAGTAAAGGCTATGTCCTCCTTTCCACTTCGTAAGACTTCAACTTTTCTGAACGTCTTGCCAAAACTGCACAAACACCACAAGGCTACGCACAGCCTTGGGCCCGGCAGCCACGTGACGCAACAGGTTCCACCAAATGTTAAATTGTTCAGCGCAATCAATAGGGGAGATGATTAAAGGCATGGAGAATCATTGTACCTGCAGCTGTGTTTCTCATATCCAGCATCAAATATCGTTTGATTTCCTGGTTGTCTCCTCCAAATCTTTGTGTGGTTCTCTCACCCAGTCTTTGGACCATGCCTTTACAGTCTATTTGTCAAAACCTCAAGATATTTCTCCTCTCATTCCTGGACTCTCTACAATCTATTTCTGGGCCTGATTATCTCAAAGAGTTGACAAAAAAAGGAAGGGTTGTGTAATTTCTGGGACAACCAAGAGATAACCAAGCAATATCTGCTGTCCAACAAGCACCATTTTACATAACCTTTGCTTAACGGAAATGCTCTTGTTTGGACAACTTGTTTCCCCAGAGCTGTGGTTCTCAACCTTTAGACTTCAACTCCCAGAATCCCCCAGACAGGCATGGACTTCAGCTCCCCGAATCCAAAATCAAACAGAACGACATTCACTTCTTGCAAACATATGTGTAGCTTAAGTAGGCTTGCCAAAACCTGAGCCTTTGGATCTTGTTAGCTGTACGCTTGGTATCGTGTTGAATTTGCAGCCACGGCATCTATAAAACGGGCCCAACTTTATTTTTCTTTTCCCGGCTGTAAAGGCAGCGAGTGGTGGAAAATAATGAAAAAGCTTGTGGCTGCAGCCGTTTCACAATTTGTACGCTTGGAGCTGAATTCTACAAACTGAAAGATTTTGAAAGTATTGATAATCTGGCTGGGCTAGTCTGTCTCCTTTTGTTACATGTATTTACATTCCCTTTATCCCAGTCAGAGAAAAGAGACTGAATTTAATTTGAAGCAGAGTTCACCGGAGTACATTCTGAACTGGAACGGCAAACATTATTTTCGTGTCTAAAATCACACAACTAGAAGACAAGATTTTGGGGGAATAAATAGACAAAACTGTGGGGGTATATAGGTAGTCTTTGATTTACAACCAGTGGTGAAATCGAATTTTTTTTATTACCGGTTCTGTGGGTGTGGCTTGCTGGGCATGGCAGGGGAAGGATACTGCAAAATCCCCATTCCCTCCCTACTCCAGGGGAAGGATACTGCAAAATCCCCATTCCCTCCTCACTTCAGGGGAAGGATACTGCAAAATCCCCATTCCCTCCCTACTCCAGGGGAAGGATACTGCAAAATCCCCACTCCAGGGGAAGGATACTGCAAAATCCCCATTCCCTCCCCACTCCTGGGGGAAGGATATTGCAAAATCCCCATTCCCTCCCCACTCCAGGGGAAGGATATTGCAAAATCTGGGGCCAGCCAGAGGTAGTATTTGCTGGTTCTCTGACTTATTCAAAATTTCCTCTATCGGTTCTCCAGAACCTGTCAGAACCTGCTGGATTTCACCCTTGCTTACAACCATTTGTTTAATGACCGTTCAACGTTACAATGTCATTGAAAAAGTGACTTATTTTTCACATTTACGACCATTGTAGCATCGCCACGCTGAACACAAAATCCAGACATATGGCAACTGACTCGTATTTATGACTGTTGCAGTGTCCTGGGGGGGGGTCATGTGATCCTGACAAGCGAAGTCCATGGGGGAACCAGATTCATTTAAGAACCATGTTACTAATTTAACAACTGTGGTGATTCACTTAACAACTGTGACAAAAAAGTTCGTAAAATTGGATGCGACTCATGCAACAACCACGTCACTTCAGAAAGCTGCGTCCTTAAGTCTGGAGATTGCATATTGAAAAATAATTTTTTAACTCTCCTGGGGGAATTTCGACACTTGGCTGTAAAAAACTGGATGATATGTATGTGTGGTTGAACCTGGTCTCACAAAGCCCAGATCTTGGCTCACAACTGCATCAGGAATGTGGTTTTGCTGTAGAAATCTCATAAAGGGCCAGTGGACTGCAGCTGTTTGTTGATGACCATTTGACATTTACTTAGGTGAGTGCTGGATATTATTTATGTGGTTATTTTACTCTCCGCCTCCCTGTGTGGAGCAGGGTGGAAAAAACAGGATTTCTACATATCGGAAGAAAGCAAAACAGAAAGAGAAAAATGATTCTTCCTGGAATTTGTTCCAGAAAATTTGAGATGAAAAACAGGATGTTCTACATCCGGTGAAGGCTCACTAGGAAATGGAAGTTCTCCCATTCGGCTTGGGCCACATGAAAACCGAAGCCTGAAATCTTTTTTCCCCACTTCATTCCATACAGTTTCCAGTTGGGTGGCTTTTCAAAAGCATCAGGTTGCAGCTTCCATAACGATGGTTAGTGTAGCCCAACCACATTGGGAGGGGGAGTTAAAGAAGGAGAAGACCACCTAGGACCAAAGGGATCAATCATTTGCTGTTCTACCGGTGGTAGATGAAATTATACAGCCACACAGTCTGTCTCTGGTCCGTATTTCAGACTCGCTGCTGTGTCAGAAGTCACCTTTTGGATTGATGCCAAGAAAATGGCATATGTTGATCCAAGAGTTATTAGAGTTATCCAGGATATTTCCTGGAGTTACTCAGGAGCTACTCAAAGGCATTATAAACCAGCCTGTGTATTCCTTTGTCTGATAGGAATAAGCTAGAATCAGGATTTCTCAACCTTGGCAACTTGAAGCTGGGTGGACTTCAATTCCCAGAATTCCCCAACCAGCATGGGAATTCCCCAACCAGCATGGGAATTCTGGGAGTTGAAGTCCACCCAGCTTCAAGCAGCCAAAGTTGAGAAACACGGGGATGGAAATAAATATTATGGGTTCAAAGCTGTATCCATGCGTTCAAAGACAGATTCCAGATGTTTGCAGTTGTAAAATGTGAAGGTCAGACAAATATCTTTGCTCGGCTTTAAAAGGCATCTTCTCCCTCCCCCCCCAAGAATTTTCCACATACCCACAATTTTTAAAAATAACCTGCTTTATTTATCCTTTACAAAGTTGGCCAAATTGCTCAATGAGCATGAAGCAACATGGGAACTGAGCTGTTTTTCCAAATGTTCGGGCATTTCTTTTAACCAGCTCGTGGAGATCTGTGCTTACCATTCCTTTTGGGAGTACACTTTGGTATCTCCTGGTGCTTCTGAAATATCACTAGCATTTCTTGAGGATTTATGGAAGACCAAAGCAGAGGATGTCATGTTCTGAAGGATTTCTTGGGAGCGGAGAAAAGGATGAAGGGATTGGTTTGTAGGATGAGAAATGGATGCTTAGAGCTGAAGAGTGAACCACAAAGAGAAAATCCAGTGGGTCAACCTTAGTTACAGCATGATCCAATCACTCACCAATCCAGCCCCCTCCTTCATATAGGTGTCAGCTATAACTGGTGGGCAAAGGTTATCCAGATGTTGCTCAAATCCTACTGTCAAAGAAACTATACCTTCTTAAGGTGGAATGGGCCACTGTAGGACAACATTTATCTGTCAGCTTTGGAAGCCATATTAGGCCGGAAGCTTCCATGCTGCCACCTTCTCATCTGTGGGAAAGTAGGAGGGGGGAATTAGTAGAGGGGTTGTCTTTAGACATAATAGCATTCTTCCTGTCGGTCAAGGTCAGGGAGATCCTGCATCTGGAGAAGGAGTGGTCGGAGTGATGTTGTCTCGAGATGGGACGGATGGTGATTGGAGCATGTGATCGACTGAGGACTGAGGGGATGGTTTTGGGGTTTTTGATTTACTGAGAGAAAACCTGGACCTCTCAGATTCGGGTTTTTCCAGATGTGCCATTTTACCTATTCTAGTAAATAGAACTTTGAAAAATGCTTTCTTCAGAGTTTTTACTTGGAGTTGGCGGTTTTTCTGAAACACTGAAACATTACCCTTGTTTCTCCTCATTATCTTTCTTTGAGTGCTTCATCCAGTTAAGGGAAGTAACCCATGTTCTGGATTGACACAAAGTTGGGTACCCATCAACCTGTTGGGTTTGCCTAAAATACTCAACCACCCAACTCATACAGTTATGGTTTGAACAAAGCAAACTTATCATGTTTGAAGCCATTCGGTCTTCAAGGGTCCCCATTAACTATGTTGGGGATGCAACCTCTGTTTCTCTGATTTTTTCCACCTACCGATTCAAGTCTTATGCTTTATAGAGAAGTCATCTACTTCAGGTGTTCAGATGACCTTCATGGACGTTGGCTCCCCTACTTGGATCTTCTGCATGAGAAATGCACTTTTTTTCGCTCAGACTATTTAAAACCAAGGGCCTCTCCAAAGCTGGGTATCGTAATCTATTGCTCCTATGAAGAGTCTTGTCTGAAAGTTGATAGCGCAGGAAAGATCAGGGAAAAAAATATATTCTGGATTTCTTTCCTTCTTTTTAGGCTTGGGGGAAGTCACAATAGAGCTGTGAATCATCATAGGATAACCAATTTATAAATAAACACAGACATAATATTTGCAAAATTATGAAATTGCATTAAATACACATCTCCTTCAAAATAAAGGCTGGGCATTTAGCTATCCCACAATTGTTGATTCACGGAAAAGCAGAAAACTTGTTGTATAGGTGGCTGGAATTTTGATAGGACCCTTTTATTGTAGCTTGAAAATTAGAAGAAAAATAGTCTTTTTTCCTTCCTTTTTAACGGTAACAGTGTTGGAAGGGACCTTGGAGGTAATCTAGTCCAATCCCCTGATCACGCAGGAGATCTATACTAGGGATTCGAACCACCGAACTGCCAATCTTTCTGATCAACAAGCTCAGTGTCTTAGCCATTGAGCCATGAGCCACCTAGCCTGCCTGTCTTCCTTCCTTCCTTCCTTCCTTCCTTCCTTCCTTCCTTCCTTCCTTCCTTCCTTCCTTCCTTCCTTCCCCTTGCTTTTTTTTTTTTTTCTTATTTGGAGAGTCTTATTTCTAATTCCAGATTTCAACCATGGCTTTTCCTTAGATTTTCTAGATCTACTAGAGAAATCTATTTCTCTCTTTGAAATCAGCGTTGGAAGCTCTTTAGGCTTCATACTGAGAGAAACAACTTTGGAATTTCTAACTAACTTCTACAAAGAACTTTTCAAAAACTTTCCATGTGGGAAATTCCTGTCAGGAGCCGGAGCAAGTGATTCAGGATGACACAAATGTAATCTATATCTGTGCCATGTTTGGCTTGTTGGAACAAGACACTCAAGTGCGCTTGTTCTCTTGTGGGATCAACTGACATTTAATCACCTAAACACCAAAAACATACGTTCTCAAAAAGAAAAGAAAAAAAAATATCCTGACAGTCTTTTGGGAACTTTTAAACCATCCGCATGTTCTCTTTTAGGAATCATCCTGTTAATTCCTAAGATTCAGGATGTGGATAAAGAAGACTGACAATTCTGCATAAAACCTATTTCACTTCCATGATCTTCCAAAAGCTGGAATTTTGCACAAGGGTAAATGGTGCTTTTAGCGGTGCTTGTTCCCTGTTCTATTTTGCATCTTTTACTTTGCAATGGTCCCACTTTTCCATACGTTCACGATGGCCTTTGCTAGTCAATGAATCTTTCCCCAAATCTCTCCCACCGGCTTCTGGATATCATGGCTGGTTTCCTTTTGGGTTCTCAAATTTTATCTGCAGACCCCTGAGGACTCCGTTGCATCTATTCTTATGTCCTTATGAAGAATAGATCTTTAAAAATGCTTTAGTTCTTCTAAAGACTTTCAGTAGTTTATGATACCCTCCAAAGCAGGGATGAGCAACTATAGATCCTTTACAACCTGGGACTTCAACTCCCAGAATTCCTGAGCCAATCATGGCTGATTCAGGACTTCAACTCCCAGAATTCCTGAGCCATTTGCTGGCTCAGGAATTCTCAGAGTTGAAGTCCACAAGTCGTAAAGGGGCCATAGCAGGGGTGAAATCCAGCAGGTTCTGACAGGTTCTACAGAACCTGTAGCGGAAATTTTGAGTAGTTTGGAGAACCGGCAAATACTACCTCTGGCTGGCCCCAGAGTGGGTGAGAATGGAGATTTTGCAATATCCTTCCCCTCCCACGCCCACCAAGCCACACCCACCAAGCCACACCAAACCACACCCACAGAACCTGTAGTAAAAAAATTTGGATTTCACCACTGGGCCGTAGCTGCCCACTCTTACTCCAAAGGCATCATTCCCACTGAATAAATATCTTTGAAGGCACCAAAGCTTCATACTCTTAAAAAGGTTTTGATCTTTTCTACATATCTGCAGATAGAGGAGAAAGGATGGCAGGATGAGGTGAAATAAAACTTCAAGAAACGGTGGCAGCCTGCGGAGAGACTGATGGGCTGTTTAGTCTTTGGTTCCAGTACTTAAACCCAATATTGGCTGTTTTTCAAAGCTGGGTTAGATGTCCTACAGTACTGGAGCAATTCTGGATCCTGTTGTCTTCCTGGCCCAGGTCCCTTTGAGTTGGATCCTGGTTCTTTGGCCTCCAAGGTATTGATGGTGGTCAGAGGTATGCTTTGAGTAGGATCAGTCTTACGGAAGGTTTCTTGGTCCACTACCGTTCCATTCTTGTATTTGGGTGGCGTCCCCTGGACATTGTGCTTGCCAGTCTTGTTCCGTTTGTGGAGATAGAAAAGCAGAGGTAAGATCAAAGCCAGGAGCAGAAGAATGAGACAAATGGGGAGGATGATGCTGAACATGTTGGCTTCAATGAAGCCTAGGAGAGAACCCTTTTCTGTCTGAGATGTTGGTCCTTGGCCTGATCTGGTTGTTGGAAGGACGTGGGACTTGTTGGAATTAGCGGGGGGCACTTTGGATTCATAAGGCATGGTTGTAAAAGTCTGGAAGGGGGAGGTTATGCTCTGTGGGGTAGAGCTATGGCTGCTTTCCTGGGGACCAGGCATATGGATCAAAGTGGCCCTATAGGGGGTTGAGGAGTTGAAGGTCTCAGTGGTGTACACCATCCAGCCCAAGGCAGGGGGCACACCTTTTGCCACCAATTCAAATTGAAAGCGGTCCTCTTGGAGATCTGGCCCTGAATCTTCTGCCTCCCAGATTTCTAACCCAATTAACCCTTCCTTGAGGTCATCTTGGGTGAAAGCGTCGATGGAGACAGGGCGATTCGTGTTGTCCCTGGAGACTTTCACCAAGTTGCTCCCTTGAGGTGCTTGGAGAATTCTGAACTCAGGGGTGCTGTTTGTCCTGTCGGCCAGATCACGTGCATCAAGGACGTTGGGGTTAAGCAGGACAGTGGTTCCTCTTGGCCAAAGAATATCCTGTTGGGTTTTCACTAAGGCCTTGACTGTTACATTCACAATCCCTGAGATATTGATGGCTCCTGAGGTGGCAAGGAATTGAAATTCGTCTTTGGAGGAGGAGGCCAAATCTGTGAAAGTAAAGATCACTTCTCCATTGTCCACCTGTTGTTGTGAAAAACGTCTCACGGCCTTTTGATGGACTTCCACCTGCCCGTACTCTGGGTCCCTGATGAGTTCATAGAGAGTATTTTGCTCTCCTTGGTCTAAAGACCCTAGAAGATGTTTGTGAGACAGTGAAGCCATGTTCAAGTCTTGGGGTATTTCCAAGATGGTCTGATTGGTTGCCCACGTGGTTGCTGGAAGAACCATGATTTCCAGAGAAATGGAAATTGGCTTGTGGAGTCCATCTGATACAACCATCTTCAAAGTTCCAGTAGAACTTGTTCTATTGGCAACAAATATCAGGTGTCCTGCATTGATGTCTGCTTGTGTGAACTGGGTTATAACTAGGGATGTATTATGGGCCTTAGCAACAAATCCAGTTGAAGATTCAGAAGTAATATTGAATTGGATTTCTTCAGGGAAACTGTCTGGATCTATGACATTCAAATGTTCTTGGGAGATCACCAGGGAGGAACCTTGGAGAACTTGTAAGACTTTTCCTTGGGTGACTAGTTTTGGTGGCATCTCATTACTGTCTTTCACTGTGATATTGAACAACCCAGAAATAATGACTTCCTCTCTGTTTTGTGGGGGCTGAATAGATTTCACCGTGTTGTTCCGGAGCCAAGCATCAAATCTGAAATAATCATCCAGGAATCCAGGACCGTTGTGAGAATATTCCAATCCACCTGCAGCAAGGTCAGATTGCAGAAAATAGGGGTGTTTCTTATTAACTCGACCATCTGGAAGAGAAAGGGCCCCATACATGGGCAATTTGGTCACCAGAAAGACCACGTCATAGGAGCTTCTCGTTGGTTCCAGTTCCTTGGTAAGAAGGTTGGAAGCATCAAGTAATGAGAGGTCGATGGCTGCACTTTGAGCTTCTGGGACAGTCAGGCCTGAAAGAGAGAAGAAAAGGAGAAACAAGGGGTGGTCATCTTGGTTCAAAACAAGGAGGCAACGTAGAAGCTGCTATGGAAGAAAGAGAAAATGAACACGGGAAGGAGAAATAGAAGAAGGGTAGAGAATGAAGAAAGGCAGGTTAAGTACAGTTCAAGAAAGTAGCATCAGAAGGTTCCAGAGTTCCACCTTCTGAAACTACTTTCTTGAGCTGTATTTAATCTGCCTTTTTTCATACCTGGCCATGAGAAAATTCAACAGGTTGTCTTCGACTTATCTGAAATAGCATTGGTTCTCCTGCTTGAACAGAGGGCTGGACTAGAAGACCTTAAAGTCCCCTTCCAGCTCTGTTCTATTCTATCCTACAGCTCCCTGGAGGCACGTGACTGACCCTGTTCCAAAGTTCCAATGGCTGGCCCCTCTTGAGGTCATGTGACTCGGCAGGCTCCATTATGGTCATAAGTCGAGGACTTCTGTAACCCATATTTTTTTTCAAATAACAACAAATTTTTCAAATAACAGAATAAGAACATTCTTTTCCCTTTCTCCAGTGCTTCTGTTCCTGCCACCTGCTCTCATTTCTCAGGAGAAGCACTGCTAGAAATGGATCAATCTGTTTCTTTCTGGTCCAGGCCTGTTTCACGACCTCCGCTTCCCAGTTTCTACATTTTTAAAGGCATGAATATTTGCATGTGAGCCTTGAACATCTTTCTCCTCCAATGCTCACGATTACACCCACAGATTAAACTCTGAATTTTGTATGCATGCCTTTCCCACTTCATTTTTTGTACCCACCCAGAAGTGGGGATCTCTGTTACAAAAACAACGAAAAAAAAAAAAAAGAGAGAAGTACACAGTTGGTTGGATAACTGTGCTCTGATTCATGGATCAGCCCAACCATTGCAAAATAGCTCCACTCCCTTAAAAAAATCTCCCAGTTTCCTAGCAGCCACAGATCTGCTTTCTGAGCATGTCTCCACGTCTCTGCTTCCTACCTTTATTTCTCCACAGCTGAGAGGAGCCCTGAGGACAGCTGGCCTCGAATGATATCGTCACGCCAAGAACAAATAGGTCTGAGGTCCCCGACGGAGAAGAAATTTGGAAGTGGAAATTATCCTCACGGATCCAGAAAGGTTCTGGTGGCATATCATGGTGGTATGCAATCATCCCAGCATTCACCTGTTTGCAAAAGACAAGAAAGGAAGGACAAAACATTCATTAAGGTGAAAAGAAACAAGAACCTTAGTTTGATTGGAACCTCTTATTCTCTAGCCCTTTGGGTTCTAGGCAGGTCTACTTATGTCCACACAAAAGGAACCTTCCCCAGTTGGGTTTCTCTAGATATGGTGGACATCAGCTCCTATAAAACCAAGCCATCATGAAAGGGGGGTCTTTCTGGGTGGGGGCTGATGGGAGATGGTGAAGTTCATGAGAACATCTTGTTGGAGAAAGTTGATATGTAGGTTGCCTACTTCACTCCATCCAAATTCTCTTCTGTATCCTTCCTCATTCTATTTTCCCCATGGAAACACTGATGGTGTCCCATCGCCACCAGTTAAGCTCTTTCATGTCCTGATGGTGTTGTTCTTCCATGGGGAGAGAGGACACCAGACCCCAGTTATGATGCCTGTCTTGCACAACTTAATTTTGGTGCACTCAGGTTATAGTAAACTGACTTTGCCCCCCTGAAAAAGTGTATGAATGTTGTGTTCCTTTTCTTCTCCTATTTTTTGGTCCTTGTTCAAAAAATGTATCAGGAAGAATATTGTAGGACCCAGTTTGCACATGGTTTAAAGGAAACAGCTTCATACCACATCTGGTCATCATTCAAACCAGGAAGAGATGCAAATGGAGTCTCCCACCCAAAAGTTGATCACTTTTAGCCCTCCCCCTAGAGTCGGTGATCAGTTATGATCATTATTAAGATCTTTTATTGGTGGCCTACATCACACACACAAAAGAAGTCCCAAATATTTTAACCTCAGCTTGGGTGAAATTTCTCAGCTCTTCTCCGTTGTTCTTTTGGCTATTCAACAGCTTGCCAAACTGTGGAGGTTGTCGTATGATGTAAAATAAAGACTTTTCAGCTTCTTCTTGATTGGTCACTGCTTTCAGGTTCTGACTTCTGATTGGCTCAGCAGAACCTTGAAAAGTAAAAGATAGGGAGAACCGCCCCTTAGGATGATGCCACGCAATGGAAAGGCTGCTCATTTATGCACTCATGCATTCCATATTCATATCATGTTCATCTCGTGGTGCTTACATGCATTGACAACACGTGAAAGCCAGAAGTGGTATTTAGCCAGTTCAGACCAGTTCAGGCGAACTGGTAGTGGTGACTGTGAGTGGAGCTGTCCATCCCCCCTGGCATAATGCCATCCTATTTAGCCACATTTTCAAGGGCCGGGTGTGTGCATGGAAGGCGCGCATGTGAGCAAAGCAACATACGTGTCAGAGGTGGGTTTCAGCAGGTTCTGACCAGTTCTGGAGAACCGGTAGCGGAAATTTTGAGTAGTTCAGAGAACCGGTAGCAAAAATTCTGACTGGCCCCACCCCCATCTATTCTCTGCCTCCCAAGTCCCAGCTGATCGGGAGGAAATGGGGATTTTGCAGTAACCTTCCCCTGAATTGGGGAGGGAATGGAGATTTTACAGTATCCTTCCCCTGCCACGCCCACCAAGCCACACCCACAGAACCAGTAGTAAAAATTTTTGAAACCCACCACTGATGCACGCACGCGGTGAACCAGTGGTAAGAATATTGGAAACCCACTGGGTTTCCTGGTGAAAGCACAAGCGACTTTAATGCAGAGGAGAGGAAATTTAGTTTAAGGGTAGAGCTGGGGACATAAATGGAGGGGACATGAGGAGACAGGTGCCCCAGGAAGGATTTCATAGCAAAGCTGATGACATCATCAGTCAGAACTTAGACTAGACTAGCCTTTCACAAAGTATAATGTTGTTTCTGGAACAGAAGACGTCACTTAGGTAAGAAAAACCAAAAGTACACATATAGACCGGGTGAAATCAGGCTTAATAGCAGTGACTGTGAGAGGGATCTTGGAGTCTTAGTGGACAACCAGCTAAATATGAGTTAGCAGTGTGCGGCGGCAGCCAAAAAAGCCAATGCAATCCTAAATTGCATTAACAGAGGGATAGAAATCAAGATCAAGGGAGGTACTAATACAACTCTATAAAGCCTTAGTAAGATCACACCTAGGGTACTGCATCCAGTTTTGGTTACCACACTGTTAAAAAGATATTGAGACTCTAGAAAAAGTGCAGAGAAGAGCAACCAAGATGATTTGGGGACTGGAGGCTAAAACATATGAAGAACGGTTGCAGGAACTGGGCATGGCTGGTCTAGGGAAAAGAAGGACTAGGGGAGACATGATAGCAGTCTTCCAATACTTGAGGGGCTGCCACAGAGAAGAGGGGGTCAACCTATTTTCTAAACTAGATGACCTACAAGGTCCCATCTGAAATATCTTACCTGGGCACACCATCAGATCTTGCTTATTTTCCAGAGTGATGACAAGTTTCTTTTGGGCTTTCACAGCAAAAAAGTGTCCCGGGGACATGTTCTCACCATCAGATAGATCAAAGGAAAACCCTCCCTCCGGAGGTCCTGGAGATGAACAACCAATAAGAAGGTTAGAACACAAGACACATGGTGTGGTCATTCATACCCTCACTTCTTGACCTCTGCTACTTTTGGATACTGCAGGGGGGACCTGTAGAAAAATGTTGATGTGCATTTTTTCTTCTTCTGGTAAGGCTAATTCTGCTTATGCCCTTCTGTTGGGATACTCCAATGTGTTGCTTATTTTCTTTTTTTTTTCATTCGATGTTCACCAACCACTTTTTTATGGCTATCTGTTCACTAAAACATTCTGTTGTTTAATCTGCAGTTGTATTGTTGTTGTTTAATTGATTGCTCTGCCTTGCAAAAGTTAGGATTTCATATCTTGTCTTGACCACATGGAAAGTGGAAATCCCTGCTTGCATTTACTGTGGAAGTAAGCATAATGCATGTTCTGGATTGCAAGTTTCCCTTGGACAGATTCATTCATGTGGTGGCCTTGGGCTGGGCTGCAAATTAAGGATTTAAATGTCTCAGAAGGTGGAAAGACCTGGCTAATCTTGTGTAGGCTTGGAGATTAAGCAGGGTTGACCTTGGGTAGGACTGAGATGGGAGATTAACCATAGGCTAGATTGGAAATTTGAAGACCTTCTAGAAGAAGGCAATGAGAATCCAACAATGTTCTGATTGCTCTTTGATGTTACTAGGATCTCAACTGAAGTGATTTGATGTTGTAGGGACTCTGCTTTTAGATACCTTTCATGAATTCAAATCACAGGGAGTTGAGAAATATTTTTTTCATCTCATGTCTTGGTCTGGAGAAAGATCTCAAGTACAATCTTGGCATTTTGGAGGAAGACTGGGGAGACCCATATCTGAAACTCTGAAGAGCTGACAAAGCTGAACTACTTAATCCAACCATCTGACGTGGCAGAGTTTTGTCTACTTTGTCATCTCTACACTCAAACCTCCTGCTCTCCTCCATTCTGGTACGGACCTTCGTGGATGAACTGAACAAGATGGCTGTTTATCTGGGCCTGGGTAAACCGCTGGATTGGACTGTCAGGTGATGATTTCAACACCACCTTCCCATTGACTGGGGTCCTGATGGAATAGATGACTTCTTCTAGAGGGGTATCTTCATCTTCACTTTGGAGAATCTCTGGGGTAATCTCAGCAGTGCCCCCTTCTTCAATCTGGCAGGAAAGATGGAGAAAACACTGGAGTCAGTCACCAACCCAACTTTGAGTCTGAATATGATACGGATGAGATTAAAAACGCTTCAGTTGAGGAGAACTCAGAGATCTCCACCTCTGACCCTGAAAACTCATTTAGCGTTTGTTTGTTTCAATTTGTTTTGGTCGCTGGCATTAAGCAAGAATTGCAGCAGGAATAAATCCTTGAGTTGCTACAAGTCCTTGAAAGCAAAACAATTCTTTAAAAAAAAGAAAAAAAGAATCCCAGAAAAATTCTGGCCCCCGAATGATCCTGTTGAGCATCTGTTCAACAATGAGATCATACCGAATGAGGACATCGCCTTCGGTCATTTTGGATTTAGTCTTTCTTAATAACATCTTCCCCCTCAATTTTGTTCTCCACAACAAGCCTGTCTCTCAAAATTAAACTAAACAACAATAACAACAACAAAAAAAAACCCCTCTAGGTGGAAATTGTCCTCCTTCCTCTGGCATAAACTCAATCTTTTGTGCTGACCCAATGGACATGTTCTTCAGGAGATGGCCTTTGACACCACTTCTCCTCATCTGCCTGGAGAATAAGTAGAACTCCATTTTTCCTGGCAATGGTTCTCTGGAATTTTTACAGCCCAGATTTGGTATTTTTAAAATTCTTTGGGGGATTAATTTTGGAATCTGTTTAGAGCAGAACTGACTGAAGGGACTTGGCAGTCATCAATATCTAGGGACTCTGCTGGCCAGCCTTTGCTTGCCATCGTTATTCTTTGTTTGGATTAACACAAAGCTCCTTGCTAAGTCATCACAACACTAGGCAGTCAGTTTGTTTATTAATCCCAGAAGGAAGGACGAGAACTAGAGGATTAAAACTGGAAGGGGAGAAATGCCTAACAGTAGGATTGAACTGGCTGCAAAACATGAATTCTGCTTCCTGAGAGTCCTTGGATGGTCCTCTGTCAGACATAATCTAGAACAGGGTTTTCCAACTTTTAGGGATCGGACTTCTTAATAAATAACAATTGCCAGAACCCCTGACCAAGAAGCAAAGCTCCAGTGATCCAAAACTGCCTGCCTTTGAGTGAATGTTTTCCTTTTTCCTCTTGTATATTAAAAAAAAAAAAAAATCCAGCTTGGCCATAACTTCTCTTGCAAGTTGGAAATTGTTGCATAGATTTCTACTGCCATCTTGCGACCAACTTTTTACACTGCCAGGCAAAAGATGGCAAAAAGAATGAAATGGTTTTGGGGTACTCCCTTCCAGGGGATGTTGATTCACTTAACAACTGCTTTGGTTAGCGGTGGATGTTCTGGTCCCAACTGTGGTTGTACATTGAGGACTACCTGTAAGGAGGATCTTACAAGACTGAAAGGAATTCAGTCTCGACAAAATAATACCTGTTGGTTCACAAAGAGCTGGAGGTAACTCAACAAGTGAAAAACATTCACAATAAATATATATTTTAGGCGACTCCCATTGGTTAGGCCAAGAGTTGTAGGTTTCTCCATGACCATCTGAAGCTTCTACTTAATAGCTATAATTAGAATAAGTTTTCTGGGGACAACCCATTGGGGTAACCTCAAAATTCTGCCCAACACTCTTGAAGTAAATACCTGCAGTTCTGTGTTGACCTTTAGCACCGGTGCCTCATCGTTGACTGGAGAGATGCTAATGGAGATGGTCTTGGGTTGACTCTGTTGATTAACTTCAGAAACATTGGCAATGACTGTGAATCTGTCAGTCAAGGACTCACTTCCATCATGTACATACTTGATGAGCTGATTCTCTACCTAAACGCAAAGAGGACATTATGATAAGGATTAGGGCTAGGGTTCTACCCATTTCACATTTATTTCAAAGGCACTATGGAGAAATTAAATTTCAATTCAACTGGGGTGGTTTAATTCTGAAAACTAGGTCAACCAAGATGTTTGGGCAAACAAATATTCCTTGCTGCTTAAATGTCACAGGATACACAGATGCAGAAAGTTCAGTCAGTGCCATGGAGGACTGGGAAATCTAGAAACCCAGAGATATGGCCTATTAGATGGACAATATTGTGTACTCTTTGAACCAACCGACAAATATTTAATTTGGTAGTTCATAACATGCTTAATAGATCGTGTTGAGTCAAGAGGAAAACGGGATCAGTTGACCCAGCCAGTATAATCCTAAAGAGATTAGACATGATCCCAAATAGTCTAGAGAGAGGATATTACAAAGTGAGCCAACATAAGGCAACTTTCACCAAACAGTGATGAAATCCAAATTATTTTTACTACTGGTTCTGTGGGCGTGGGTGTGGCTTGGTGGGTGTGGCAGAGGAAGGATACTGCAAAATCTCCATTCCCTCCCCACTCCTGGGGGAAGGACATTGCAAAATCCCCATTCCCACCCTACTCTGGAGCCAGCCAGAGGTGGTATTTGCCAGTTCTCCGAACTGCTCAAAATTTCCGCTACCGTTCTCCAGAACCTGTCAGAACCTGCTGGATTTCACCCCTGATACCAAGACTGGATCCAGCAAAGATGCATGTCCATTTAATGGATTCCATATAATGGATGACTATCAGGTATGCATTTCATGTTTCCTCTATAGGTGTCCATATGATTGGACAAAAAACAACAGCCACTTTTTAAGTTAAAAGAAAAATGCCCGTTTATTTTCCCGGTGAAGTAGTTTTCTTTTGCATACAAATATAGAATTGCAGACCTGCAGATTGGAGAACTAGGGGTACTCCTTGATTTATGACCGTTATAGACATAAATCATGATGGTCGTAAAGACCTAAAGAATTAGTTTTTATCCATTCAGCTTGAGCTTTTCAAATGTGATAGTAAATCCTGCATTATTTCTAAGCCAGCAGAGATATTTCAAGGGGCGTGGAATGAAAGAACACATACATATATTTATTTCAAATTAAAAAAAACAAAAACAAAACTTGAGGAGATTGTGTTGTTTCCTACCTCATACCAGGAGAAAACATTTAAGCTACCCTCTTCAGGTCTTTCCAAATTCTGGAAGGTGCCATGCTCTGGTATCTCAACAACTACAAATTCTACATCGAAAGATGAGGAATAAGTGCTGGGAATATTCAGAATGTCCATAGAAAGCGCTTGGCTGTGGCCTTCGGTCACTGTGAAATTGTGAACCTCCAGAGGAACTGAAATTGGAAGAATCTCCAGCTCCACTACTACTCCGTTCAGAGCATCTACTCCATCAGCGGTAACATCAACCATGAACTGATCCCTCTGAATCTCGGGGCTGGAATGGAGAAAGAGGACTTTGCCTTCGTTTACATCTTCCTGGGTGAAGGTCTGGATGGGATCCAGGCTTGGAGGTTCATCCGAAGCATGGTTTTGAGACAAAGCCACCAGAAACCCTGAGTTGGGAGAGTTGATGATTGTATAGATGATGTTTTGGGGTTCAATTTCATCATGCTCAACCTGAAAATTGGATGAGGAAGGAAAAGTTTGAGATTTCTTTGTTTCACACCAATCACCTTGGATGGTGGTTTACTTTCTTGATAAAAAGGTTGATTCTTGAATGGAATCAGTTGCTCTCATGGTAATCTTAATACCCTGTTTCCCCTAAAATAAGACATCCCCTGATAATAAGCCCAATCAGGCTTTTGAGCCCATGCACCCAAGCCCCTCCTGAAAATAAACCCTCCCTGAAAATATTTAAACGCATGCACAGCTGGTCCCTGCCATTTCCTCGGGTTTCCTCCATGCGCCCCAAAATAATAAGACCTCCCCGAAAATAAGGCCAAGTGCTTATTTCGGGGTTCAAAAAAATATAAGACAGGGTCTTATTTTCGGGGAAACACGGTAGTAAACAGTTGAATCTCTTAATGTAATAAAGTCTAGTGAGCTTAGGCAGCCTACAAGAACTTCTAGCACTTCTACGGCTCCACATATTACAAGATTGCTATCTAAATTTCCTTAAATGATAAAGACCCCTTAATTCATCAATTCACAGATAGTCCTATTCTTCTTGCTTTCTTGTTTTTTGGGGGGATTTTTTTTGGTCTCAAAGGTGCTTTTTCAGAAGGCAACTGGATTATGTTTTTTCCTTGAGGAAGAAGACATTTTACTTCTCACCCAAGAAGCCTCATCAGTTCTGACTACCGTATTTTTCAGAATATAAGACGCACCTTCCCCCCCCTAAAAGAGGCTGAAAATTTGGGTGCGTCTTATACTCCGAGTGTAGCTTTTTCGAAGCTTTTTTTCAGCCCTAACGAGGCACTAATGAGGTGCTAGAGTGAAGCGATCTCCATGCTTTGCTCTGACTCTCGGCTGTTCTTTAGAAGCTTTTTTTCAGCCATAACTAGGCGCTAGCCAAGTGAAGCGATCTCTCCATGCTTTGCCTGCTTCTCTCATTGCTGCTTCCTCTCAGTTGTGCCTTAGAAGCTGTTTTTTATCCCCAAGCAGGGGATAAAAAAACCAGCAAACTAATGTGCTGAAGCTGACCAGACTAAGGACGCTAGCCAGATGAATACCAGGTAGGCAGATTTTTTTCCCTCTACTTTCCTCCCCCAAAACTAAGCTTATACTCCGAAAAATATGGTAAATGTTGGGGAGAATGGAAAGATGGAATTAGAATTGATGAAACTTCTCGAATAGAAGCGAAATGTCTTCTTCCTCAGGGAAAAAAAACAAAGTCCAGTTGCCTTTTGAAAAAGCACCTTTGAGATGACCTAGATGACTAAGAATCTTCATAGAGACTTTTTTTTTTCAGCCTTGAGGGAAGGAAAAGTAAACATAGAAACAACAACATAAAATAGGCCAAGTAGAGCTTACCAGCAAGTAGTCATTTTTAATCGCCATTGCTTCTCCTTGGAGGACGTGTATCTTCTCGTTGTGGACAAGATTTAGTGGGTCAGGATGGGAATCTGCTAATATGGTAACCTTCAGTGTCTCCTCCACGGACACCTGATTTGCGTCAACAGAAAAATGAATGGCATCCTGGGACTTTCTGCTCCCATTGTGATGGTAAATAATATCTCCTGCCAGAAGGTCCTTTTGGGTAAAAAACGATACTTCCTGGCCATCTCGTAGCAACATTCCCGACATGGGTGGAGCCATGATACGGAAGAGGATATCTTGGTCGTTCCTGATGTCCATGTTGGTTTCCAACCTGAGGACAGAGGAGTCCACGGCCACTTGGCCACCTTGGTGAAGGACCAAGCCAGTGTGGTTGATCTTGAGGTAAGGGTCTGAAGCTTGCACTTCCAGAAGTGTTGTGATCTGGTGAAGACCATCAGAAACCTGGAACTGAATCCAGCCTCGGTCAGCTCCTGAGTGGACAAAGAGGATTTTTTTCTTCCTCAAGTCATCTTGAGTGAAGCGATAGAGCTGGCTATTTCTATCATCTGCGGCAATGATGCTACCGAAAAGAATATCTTTTCTTACCAACACTAGCTGAACATCTGAGAAACCTGAATCTTCATCGATAAAGGCTATGTCTTCTGTGGTCATCAGGCGTTGACCTTTACGCACCACGTTGAAGACCTTGTTGACCACCTGAACTGGGGTGTGGTCATTGACGGGCTGAATGGAGACCCTGAAGACACCTCTCACCTCCTCAGCCTCTGAGTCAAAGCTTCCTTCCTCCTGCTTGATGGCTACAAATGGGATGTCGTCTTCTAGAGTCTCAGAATCATCATGCTGGTAGACAAGGCGACCTTGTAGGATGTCTTCATTTGTGAATGTTGTTATCATCTCCTTCCTGGTTGACCCAGGCTCAGAGGTTCTCCAGATAAGCTTCCCATGTGTAGGACCATCTATCACCTCATACATGTAGTTCATGCTGTTAGCACTCTTGACAAACAAAAAGTCCTTGGTAATGATGGCCTGTCCTCCTTCTAAAATGGACAAAAGGACATTGGTTAAGATGGGAGTATCTGGATCTCCCCCTACTTCTATTTTGTAAGAATACACAGGGGAATAATAGGGTTTAGCCATGACCCGGAACTGGAAAACATCTTCTGTTTCCTTGGAGTCTCTAACAGTTGCCATGTAACTCAGTTGTCCTCTCTGTAAATCTTCCTGGGTAAAACTCAAGCCCTCAGCCAATCTGGTGCCCCGAAGTTCAAGATTTCCTTTTTTGGGTGGCTGAAGGATCACAAAGTGGAAAGTCACTTGCTCAGAACCTGGTTCTTCCAAAGCTGCCTCCAGTTCAGCAGATGTGATGTTTTTTTCTTTCTCGTTTTTCATCTGGAGAGGGACCATAGTTTTCATCCTGATGGCAGCCTTTTGGACTCTGATGGGGAAGGTGTTGTTTTTCAGGATCTTCTGGCCTACCTGGATGGTGAACTGCAGCTTCTCAATCGTGTCTTCTACTCGATGTTCATCATCTGTGCTAGCATACTGGATGTGTTCTTGATCAATATCCTGCTGGTAAAAAGATTCTGTTTTCTTCCACTCTCCACTCATCCCTCCTTGCTTCTGGATCTCACCATACTGGAGAGGGGAGACCAAGTGATACAGCACAGGTACTTTTTGCTGGACGGCATTAAGATCCACAGAAAGGTTGGCTTTGGTTATTGAAACTCTGTCCCCTTGTAGGACAAAGAGTCCTGTGTTGTTGTGGATCTGGATATCTGGCTCCACTGCATCTATCCTCAAGGTGGCCACCGGGCTCATCACCATGCCATCGTTCACTTGGATGGTAAGGGTGGATACAGGCCCATCTTGATGGACATAGACTACCTGGCCTGCTTCCAGATCACTACAGGAAAACTCTTCAATTGGGACTCCAGGATGGAAGTCATACTCCAGATATCCTTCTTCCATTCTCTTCCCACCAAGCACTTGGAATCTCAAGCTATCACAGGGGGTATCGTCATCATGGGCTTGAAAGATGGCTGGGTTGAGATGTTTGCGTGTGTGTTCCAGGATGACCATGGAATCTCCATGTGGAAAAACCACTTCAGGAGCATCATTGACTGGGTTGATCTTAATGGGGAGCAAATATATCTGGCCTTGCCACAAGCACTCCGGAATATCTCCTCTGGCAGTCACGGTGACCTCCAAGAGCAGCTGATCCATGGGGCCCTCAGAACCATCATGAACATACTTGACCTTGCGATTCACAATGTCCAAGAGAGTGAACTTGCCTCTGCTCCTGACTTTGGAGAGGTTTAATTCCAGCTGCCCATGTCTTGGGTCTGTAGTGACACTGAAGAGGACTTGAGATTGCCTGATGTTTGCACGGTTGAGGTCAATGGTCGGTTGAGTGTGCCACCACTCCAAAAAAGCCGTGCCTCCTTCAGCAACTACCAGGGGACTGACCTGCAATAGTTTGGTGAAGTTAGTGAAGACTGGGGGCAAGCTAGGATCTGGGCGACAGGGCTCCATAACAGAGCCCTGCCAACTGTCTAGAGGAGAGCTTGTGGTGGCCTCATCCTGTTCATAAACATTGTCATAATCTGAGTACTGATCTGACTTTCCACAGCCAGCACTTGTGTCTTTAGTCACAAGAGCTTCTCGTAGGCTCATCTTTTCCTCATTAATCTTCAAGTCCTCTATACAACCCACAAAGGAGTTATTGAAGAAGCTGTTTGCAGATATAAAGCCCAGTTCACGGTCTTTCATTCTGCTGGCAGCCTTCTCATTCAGACCACCGAGAAAAAGAGGTCCTTGAAGATCAAAGTAGCTATGGATCCCCTTGTTAGAGGTCTGTGAGACATAGTAGTCAACCAGGATCTCAAATTTTCGATTGTCCATGTAGACCTTGACGTAGTGATCCTGCTCGTTGCTGAGGTAGATGTTGTTGTGAAGCAGTACCAGGCCGTTCCCTTTCTCCACCACACCTCTTAAATGTCCATCAAAGATTTCCAGGTAGAAGAAATCCTTTTCCAGACCCGATTGGTAAAACAGAGGGGCCTGTTTGACACTTGTGGTGATCACAAACTCTATGGTTCCTTCTTTCCTTGCATTCCAACCAGGAAATGTGATGTAAGAGTTTGATCCTAGGAAGCCAAAAGGAACCTCGGGGCCAGCAGAGAATTCTTCACTGCATCCTTCACGGATGCCATGAGTTGCTTTGATGCCAGTGCCGGTTGCCAGTGCCGAGAGGACATCATGATCGTTAAATGTCAGAGTATGGAGACAGCCCCGGAATGACAAACTCACTCCAGTGAGGTACGGCAATTCCAGATTTCCTGTACCTGCCAGGTAGAGCCCATAATCAACATCTAATTCTTGAAGAGGCTCTGGAATTTCTGTGGAGGCATTAAAGAGCCCATCCACAATCAAGATCATCTTGCCATCCGTCACCAGAAGATCAACATCATGAGTCACAAGGTTGTTGAGTTGTAGTTCTGCTGGGGACCTGACAGACAGCTCTCCTGAGCCCAGGTCCATTGTGGCCTGCACAAAGAGAAGACAAAAGGCATCAGAAACACATTGGACAGCCAGGTTCCATCTTCTGAAGGGTGGGGAGGACTTTGTTTTTGCCAGCTGCCCTGATGGGTGAAGTGAAGAAGACTTCACTTTTGCAGATGGTGCAAACCAAGAAGGAATAGTCCTTTTTCAAACTCCTTTCTGCATTATATGTACACCATTCCTTCCCAAACAAACAAGGAAAAACAATGTTCTCCTTCTGGCATTCAAAATTTAGACATATCCGCCCCACCCCACCCCCAGAAGTAAAGCTCTCTTGTTCCTCCAGCTTAATTCTTAATTAATCACAGGCTTTTCTGCAGTCTGTAATTGCAAGCTTGTTCCCAAAGGCTTCTATTCCCTCCCTTCCCCTTCTTCTTCTGCTTCTTCTTCTTTTTTTTTAGCTCTAAGCAATGGGAAATAGCAGTAGTGTAGATATAAGTATAGGGTCTCCTGCCTTGAGCAGGGGATTTGGATTAGAAGACCTCCAAGGTCCCTCCCAACCTATTATTCTCTGTTCTAAATATTCCTTTCACCTCCTCCCTCCCCAAGCCAGGGAAATATTTTGCTGACCTGTAGGACACCAGCACGGAGCTCTAGAAGAAGGTAGTCCTTTTGCCCAGCAGCCAAGAAGAGAAGGGCATTGTGATAGCCGGTGAGGAACTGCACGTGGAGATGGATGGAGCTGTAGCTGTGGACCAAGGGGATCTCCACATGGTCATCTCCAAAAAAAGACACTGAAAAAGAAGCAACGTTGAGAGAGATGATCAATTTCTTGCCAAAAAAAAAAAACCCAGATGGATTCGACAATTAATTTTTTGGGTAAGTCCAGTGAGGTACTTGAGAATATTTCCTGCAAATGCAAACGGGAGAACTGATTTTGCAAAGCGGTTGGCTGGAGGAAAATCAAGAAAACCTCCGAGAGGTAAACCTTGCAATACCAGTCACAGACTTTAGATGGGGAGATGACTCCATATCATCTATGAAGACCAGTGTCTTTGAACACTCAACCGTCTCAACTCCAAGTATAGGTTAGCTACCGAGGAAACCTATTTATTAGTTGATTGGATTTGCAGTTTACAAAACCCAGCTCTTGCTTAATTTGTGACAGAGCTCAGTTTTCAAGACCTGAAAAGAAGGAATAAGATGCACCACCGTCACCCAAGGAAAGACGTTACAAGTTGAGTAACACTAACCAGAGAATCCCCACACATTGTGCATTTGGGCGGAAGTGAGGAAATGCTTTTGTCTGACGGCCATATTACTTAAAAACAGTCTGGGAGATAGACAAAAAAAAAATCTATCAGATGGGAAAGTTACACGCTCAAAAAAGTGGTGGGGTTTCTTCAGAAGAACTAAAAAGAGTGAATCTTGAAAGCTTTGTTATCACCAGCATCGGTCTCTGTGGGAGACGTGGCTCTGTCTGTTCTCCTAGCAAGATGACAAATCACAGAACCCCAAAGTTGGAAGAAATCTTGGAATTCTATTAGTCCCAGTTCTGACCAGATCAGGAATCCTCAGATTGTCCCAGACCAATGTTTCTCAACCTTGGCAACTTTATGGACTTCAGGTCTCAGAATTCTCCAGATGGCTTGCTGGGAGTTGAAGTCCACACATCTTAAAGTTGTTAAGGCTGAGAAACATTGTCCCAGACAATGGACTATCCAAATCCAACCTTTGCTTGAAAATTTCAAGCCATGGAACCTCCACAATGGCAGGAGGCAGATGATGTCACCCACACCAACCTAAGGAAAGGTCTTGTAGCCCCCTCCCCAATTAACTACTCCCTGTCCACTAATGCCCAGCTACTTTCTCTGAAGAAGAGAACAGCTTTATGCTTCCTCTCTCTGCAAGATTTCCACCAGATTCAGGAAATACATTCGCAGGGAAAAGGGACGAACTGCAAAGACAGCAATTCATTTCAAGAGTGGGTGTGCTAACTGTACAGCTTCTTGGTCAGATTCCAGGCAGAAGGAGGACAAATGACCAATTTTCTAAAAAATCCTGTTCTTTCTATTTAAGGACCGCAGAAGAAATTAATTCTATTTACATCTGATGCTGCAGATTTACTCAAACATGCATTTTAGTGCCAATATTGTGACATGAAATGCAATTAGCTTTTGGAAGCTGCACTTTTCTCAATTGTGTTGTCTAATTGCCCGACATTAAAGAATGTGCAGATTTTGCATGACTGGGGAATTCTGGGAGTTGAAGTCTATTTATCTTAAAGCTGCCAAGACTGAGGAAAGGCTGGCCTAGATTCTATCCACCTTTGGCCTGTTCAAATAATTCAAAGCTTGTTTGCAAGATATGCACTTGGATAAAACAAACTTCCTCCTCCTCCTTTCTGCAAATCCCTCTAGCACTGATTATGTTATCTAATTGGGTAATAAAACATCTGCAAGAAAACAACTATCCCTTCCCCTTCCCCTTCCTTTCTCCTTCCTTCTTCCCCTTCCCTCTCTTCTCCTCCCCCCTTCTGATCAAGATGTCCTCAGAATTCCATGCCGCTCTCTCCGCTCCCATTGCCTTGTGCAACCTTTTAATCTAGAAAGCAGGGAGACTTTAAGATCTGATGGAACCTTGTCCTCATTTTCAAATCCTCTAAGGACTGGGATGTCACCAGGCCATGGGGCTTCTTGCTCTGCCTGAAGATTGACACTTGGGCTCGGCGTCTGGAGTCCCAAACACACCCAGCCTTTTGGAAAACGGAGGGATTAGCTTCCCTTTTTATCCGTAGAGGACTTTGAAGGTCAACCTTCAGTTATAAACCTTCTTCTTCCCTTTGGTGAAAAGGCAGCTGCCACCCTATTAGACTCAAAATAAATTACATCTCCCAAAGAAGTAGAACCCACCTAAAACAAGGAGCACATTGCTTTTTCTTAGCATTACATCTTTTTTTTAAAAAAAAGAATTAGAACCCTGCATTTTAAAAATTCAGCAAGACTATGGCTATCATTTTGTATTAAATTGGAAAAGAAGTGTCTTCCAGCATGTTAACAGGAAAATTATACTTAGTGTTACATGTTGGTTTTCTGTGTTTAATAATTTCCAGAGTTGCTGATTTCTGAAAGCAATTCTATTGGCCCTCCAGTAATTATTTCTGTGAGTATTTTGACATTTGACATTTTGGTCAAATTACTTTTGATTTTGATTTTAATTAAGGTTTTAATTAAGGCATATCTTCATTTCTGAGAATTGCATTTTTCATTTTAGGAAAATAGAATACCACATTTATCGTTCGCCTGTCCTCTTTACAATCCCAGGAACAAGTAGAATTTGAGAAGAATGTTACATTTAAAAAGACATTTTTTAAAATGTATAAGAGACAGTGAAAGCAAATGATTTCTCCTTTAATAAATGCTCATTGTCTACATTCCCCACTCTGGTATAAAGCTGACAAGCTCATTTATTGATTTCCAGCATGTATTAGAGGAAGCACTACAAACGGTATGAAATGGATGCGGGGAAATTTGAAACCATTATATCTATTTGTACTGACTTCATATCAGATCGAATGCAAACTGTGTATATCAAACGCCCGATAAAAATTATACCTCACTAGAAACATTTGCAGTTCATGTTTTTTCAAGTTGGCTGGCAAGCCAAGTTCCATTTTTCTCATTCATCTTCATAACCACAGTCACCATAATAGTAATCACTCTAACACTGGCCATAGGTCAGACTGGGATGGAGCCTTGGCTGAATATCTCCATGGCCTTTTTCATATCAACCCTTTTCAAACATTGCTTAACAAGTATCTATGGAGATTCACATTCATCTAGGTCATTGTTGTGACCCTGACTCCCGAGCCTGTCCTAACAGAGGAAGAGGACTCAGAAGGTGATGGGGAGGAACTGACAAGGCCTCCCTCTCCAGGACCCTCCTCTCTGGCAATGCCTCAGGTTCCATCTGAAGGCCAGGAGGAACAGCCTGGGATGTGCCAGGAGGAAGGCATATCGGAGCACCAATTGATAGGGAGCGAGGATGATGAATCCTGGCTTGATCCCAGGCAGCGTCGGAGGGAGAAGTGTGCGCAGCAATGGAAGAGGTGTGGGAGGGCTAGAGATTGAGCTGAGTCACAGAGCCACGCCCCACCAGGAATAAAAGTGGGTGGAATTGCTCTTCAGGCTTTGTGACGGACAAAGTTAAACCCTGAAAGTCACATCGTGATCTCTGAAATTCGGCTTGGATATATTTTGGACTGAATAATGATTAAACTTTTGTCTCGTGGATAATTTGTTGCTCCTGGAACGGACTGAAGATAAGTCCTCTTCTAATTTGTTTACCTAATAAAATATTGGCAGGCGTGCTTAGTATTACGTTTGCCTGTGTGGTATTTGCCGGTTCTCTGAACTGCTCAAAATTTCCACTACTGGTTCTCCAGAACCTGTCGGAACCTGCTGGATTTCACCCCTGTCCAGGACCCTTCAACATCAGCACTTCCTTGCTTTTCAAAACTTCACCCTGTTGTATTTCAAGAACAAAGATTTGCATCTCAAATCCCAAGAAAGATGGAGAGAGGGGGACGAAGAGAAGGAGTCTTGCAAGAGACCGAGAGAAACTCATTCAGGATTCTTGTATGTTTGATTGCCATTGTGTCTTGTTTTGTCTCCAAACAATGAACAGTCAGTGCCAGCATGAACTTCATTTGTACTGTTAGAAGTGGCTCATCCAAAAAAGACAGAGAGAGCAAAGAGGAACTCCTGAGTCTAGGAACAAAGAAATTAAATCCTTTGAAATAGTTTTTAAGCCACCTCGCTAAAATCAATGGCTCCCCCATCCCCCACAGCAAATGCAGATCAGGACAGCAGAAAGGAAACTGAGGCAGAGAGAGAGAGGGAGAGAGGGAGGGAGGGTGGGAGGGAGACTTACTTGAAAGGCAACAGACAGGATGTGTTGGCTTACTTTTATGCTATTAATTGTGAATTAATTTGATTAATGAATTATTCATTAATTGCCTAATGGTCCATAGCAGATCTAGTCATTTCCTATCCTAAATCTTAGTCATCGTTTCCTGTAGCGCAAGGGTATTATCTAACTGCTTTGGACTGAAATTCCAAAATTATTTTTTTTAAAAAAGAAAAATATTAAATAATAATAATAAAAGGAGCCTGAGTGGCGTAGGAGGCTAATGCCTCCTACTAAGGCAGCATTTAACATCCAGCTGCCTGCAATTACTGCGAGTTCAATTCTCACCAGGCTCAAGGTCGACTCAGCCTTCCATCCTTTCTAAGGTGGGTAAAATGAGGACCCGGTTTGTGGGGGCAATAAGCTGACTTTGTATAAATATACAAAAGTATGAAGGCTATTGCTTAACGCATTGTAAGCCGCCCTGAGTCTCCGGAGAAGGGCGGCATATAAAAATAAATAAATAATTAAAAAAATTATCTCTTTTCGCTGTTTCCAAAACAAATACAGCCACCCTTAAGACGGGCTGCATAAATATTATTTCTGCTATCCCAACAGATACGTAAATGGATGGAGAGCAATGCCATATAAGAGAAGTTAAGATAGCCATCTATTCTGGACCAACTAGCTGTTCAACAGTGAAGCAGCTTACTGGGGCCAAGATATGGAATCCAGTCGGGATCTTTGAATCTGCTTGAAGAGTTGGTGGAATTTTGCAGGGATTTCAGATGGAGTCAGATCTTCAACTCAATTTGACGGGTTGGCCCATCCATGGGAAAAGAGCTTTCCTGTAGAAAGGCACAGGGTGTTTTCACAGGAGGTTCCA